GAAGTGAATGAGACTGTGAACAAAAAAAAATATCATTCTGTAGCATCTTGTAAAAAGTAACTACGATTAAAATTATCACCGATAGTATATTCAAAAAACAATTATGAAAAGACAACATGGAAATACATTCTCTAAAAGTATTAATCAAAGACAGCAGTTACAGGATCAATCCTGTTGCAGCCCATCAATCAAACTTCAGACAAAGGAAGAAAGCAGTGTTAAGTTTAGATTCAAATTAATGAATTAAATTATATAGTAACTCAGACAACTATTTCTGGATTTGTATAAGTAGACTGCAGTCCATAATTTTTCCCTGTGGAATAAAGATGAGAATTTTAAAGGATTTCTCCTGACTAAGTGCACTTTACATAAATGCATAATGCAAAAGTATAAGCTGCAGAGAAATGTTATGGTTATATGCAAAGTTTAAATTATGTGATATTTAAAGTATAGCTCAGAATATGCATATATGGAATACAGTTTATTTATTTATTGGACCCAGATCAAAACCAAATTGCTTTCATGGCAGCTGCTTTCACAGAAATGCCGTAAGGGTCAAGGGGGTTATGTCTTGGAAGGGGGTCTGCCCTCATGGGCGTGAACTGTTCTCTAGCTCTCAAAAACACAAGCCAGTCAATTAAAGAAAGGAGTTAAAAAAACAACCAACCATCAAAAAACCACACACAAGGCAATTAAATGAAAATGGAAATTGTGATTGGAGGCATGAAACTATTCAGTATACAAAGAGAAAGGAAATGATAATCATCAAGATCTTGCATTAAGTGGCTGGACTGGGCAATACTTGGAACAGAATTGCTCGAGCTTTCACATGAGTTTCTACAGTACTGTCAGAAAAGTGTTAAGGGCATGCTGAGGGGAATAAATGAAATATTTGTTTTCTTAATGAGCATCAAGGGTCCCTCTATCTTCTATTTGATATTATTCTGTCCAGGCTACATGAAATTAAATCACAGGTGGAAAGCTGCAGAATAACAGTGGTGATGATAAGGTGATATCAGAGACTGGCAGTAGCTTGTGGGAAACAACAGGGAAGCTAAGGACTGGCAGACTACCTACTAGCAGCAGAATATGTTTGCTCATGAATGGATGTTTACTTGTCCCAGGCTGCAACACGGGATCAAAATGGATTCTAAAATTAGAAAATTTCTAGTCTAAGGCAAGGCCTGAGGGGGTTTTAGCAATTGCTACGGTGTTGCTGGGAGATGACACAATTAGAAATGCTAAAGGATGAAAAAGAAATGTAGGAAAGTCAGTCTGCTCATTCATGAAGTAAGGACAACTTCTCATAGAAAACTTTAACATTCAGGTAAATAAATATTACTTTAACCATTTAGGGCTAAACGTTTAAAAAGTACCACTACACTGAACTGGAAAATTCCCTGGCAGCCTCACAGAGCCACTTTTGAGTCAATAGTCTCACATGAAGTCCTCCAGGCTCCTGAAACAACACCCATTGCATTTCTCTTTGCATCTGCCTGAAAGGAGAGGAAAACAGCAAAGGTCCTTTAAAGCCAATGAGGTAAAGGCCTTGTCCCACTTCTCTAGGCACAGAGGTGTTGCATATACCTGTTATAATTTCTCTGAATGTGCAAAATAGTTTGTTAAAGCACAGTGTACATGCTAAGGTTATTTACACAAGGTAAGGAAGGATGGTCTGATCTGTGATTCTGCATTAGGCAAATGCATTGAGGCAGTCTCTACACTGTAATCTGGTATAGGTGCGGGATAATTGTTAGAAACAGAACCACTTTTCTGTCATGCTGTTGAACTGTCACTAACCTGTCTTAGACACACTTAGTCTGTGGCTTTAACCCTTCAAGTAATAAACCTTGCTGGGCACCTTCTACTTTTGGAACACGTTACAGGGAACCACAAAGGAGTCTTGATCAGCCATTTTGCATTTGCTTTAAAGGGAAGGAACATAATATGAGCCACTAATCTTGGCTAATGAAAAAAGAAAATTGGAGTTTTGTAGTCCGGTCTGGGAATGGTAAGATCACATTTTACACAGAGCTCAAGATTTCATGTCCCATGTCCCCAGCCCTCACTGACGCATATTTAAAAAGATTAGTAATACAAATACATGTTGGATTACAAGGGAACTATATAAGAAGGCAGACAAATAAATTTGTCAGATGTCACACGAATCGAAGAATAAACCCAAAACCTACTTTCAAGAAATAGTAGGCAGTAGCTATGGCCTGCTACTTGACTTGGAAGGAAAAAGTAGGTGGGAACTTGATAAGACTGTGGTAGGTTCTATAAGGGAAGACCCAATCAAATTTTTAATAATCTTTCCTAATAGCCTACTATTTATAACAAGCAAAGAATCCTTGCAAAATTAAAAGCATATTGAAAAGATGATCCCACAGAGCATCAACTGCTGCTCTGTAATAGAAATGACTAGAAGAGAATCCTTTAAGAAATATTATCCTGTCATAAATTTACCCTTTATTTCCTTGAAGCAGTGCTAGTTGTACATGCTATCTTACAGAGTCAAGTCTTGCAGCCAAATTCATTAGCATGTATATGGGTGGCAAACTGTTTTTAAATAATGGAAGACTAGAGATAAATCACTGTCATTAGTGCAGAAGGCAAGGTCTAGTGTGGGACCATGCACTTGCTCAGCACTCAGTATAAAGTTAATAATGTTTCTTAAGGTTTTCTATATTCAACTTCATTAATCTAGACAAGGTCTAGATACAGCAGTGGCAGAATTAATAATTTCAGTTCAAATCCCTGAAACTGACAGAAAAGGATCTATGCACCAGCTGGCTTCTATTCACCCTTGCAGAAGTATATTCTTTTAAAAACACATTTTGGTTTGAATCTCAGTGCTTGTAAAAGGTTGAGATATTCAGATTGAGACACTAACCTTTACTTTTCTTCCTTAGGTGAAATAGAACACATGACCATGCAGTCATCCAGACACATCGTGTGCCCCCCCCCCAAATGTAAATAATACAAGTGCTTCAGTGATATAAGGATAAAAGTCAGTCTTGCAATTCTCTATGTGAAGAGGTCATGTCTGGGACTTTGGTAAAACCTCCCTGGGAGTTTTCTAAAAGACCCTGAATTACTCTTTTTGACAAAGCAATTAAACTATGAAAAGCAGAGGAAATCACCCAGTACAGACTGAAATTTGTAGAGAATGGAAGGCATTTTTACCCTGTCATTATGATTGAGAACAGAACAAAATCCTCCCAAAAGGACCTGCAGCAGAAAGGATGGCAGAGTTCAAAACAGCATTTAATGTGGCACTTCCACTACAGAACAGCACAAGTCCAGTGTTTGGATTTCAAGCTGCGACTGCAGTGCTGGCAGCATGACCAAAACCCCAGGTCACCCCTCCAACCTAGCTTCTCTGCCCATGATACCAATGATGCCTTTCTCTGTCCCACTTAATCTCTCTCCTATTTAATCCCAAGGGAGCAAGGAAGGCCTGTGGCCTGTTGATTTAAGTATTTATGTGACAAGTTTGCACTTCATTAGCTGTGGACCTACTTTCCCTCTTCTGCCTAGTACTGGAAGTTTAAGCTATTATAAAAGAGCCGAATGGTAAGAAACCACAACCCAGGTGTGTTTTACCAGATTAACTTTCTCTGTCTTTACTGGGATTATGTTTGATTGTGACAGCATGCATTAAATGTCATCTGAAAAAGTTTTCTGGACCACGTCCCTGGGACACTAAGCAGAACAATGAGGTTCTGGATCCTGATTAAGCCTGTGACAGGTGAGGAACCGAAATCTGCTTGGGGAGGGGCTGCGCACAGACAGAAATGGAGCTCTGGCTTGGGAGAGCCTGTAGAGCAGGTTGAGATGCCTCTGCAGGAAAAGGACAGCTCAATGCTGACTGTTCAGGGATTACAACACACATGTTGGACTGCACATGTATGAATTTTGCCCAAGTTCAGTTTCAGCACAGCTGAATAGCTGATGTAGATGACCTAATAGCTAATAGACCTAGGTCTGTGTGCTGAATTATGACCTGCTTGGTCATAATTGGTTATGACTAGCCAAATGCTTCCAGTGCTTATTCACATGATGCCTTTAAGACCAAAGAACATATGGGGTTACAGTAACATTCATGACAATTGTGCACACATAGTGATTGGTGATTTTCACTTTATGAAAAGTATACATATATAAAACATGTTCTCACTGGCCCCATAAAAAAACAGTATGCAGCTTTTACAAGCAGACTAATAGGTTGTGTCATTTTTGGACAGCAGCAAAGCATTCAGCATGTTAGATGCTGTTAATTACTTTGTTTTAAATACCTTATAATACATAAAGCCCCCGCAATTTCCCCTCTCATTTCTCCTGCACTCTGTAGCATCTCTGTGCTGACAACTTGTTGGGGAGCAGCAGGGCAGGCTGCTGTGCCAAGGGAGGGGAACTAAGCTAAGCACAGTCATGCAGGATAGGGGGTGGCCACCAGGCTCAGCTGAGAGCCCGTACTACCCAGCTGGGTTAAGGTCCAGGTCTAGACTGTTATGTTCCTGCCCAGCTGAGATGCTACTGCAACCGTAGCTCTGGCTGGGACTGAGGGTGAGAGCCTTCACTTACAAGTGCCCCACAAGAAAGTTGTAGGAGGGCATTCTTTGCTGGAGCTGCCTCTAGCTTCTCTCATTACAGCTTCCTTTAAGGCCTCCAGCTGTGCAGTTTGGACTCTGGCCCCAAGCCCAGGCAGCTGAAACCCTGGGTGTGAGGGATGGCTGGTGTCCCCCCACTGCAGCAAAAGCAGATGGGAGATTCCTGCCTACACTCTCTGCTTTTATTCACGAGGGAAGACCTCTGCCCCACAGCTCTTTGCAAACTACACTAAAAGTGAAATTTGTTGGGTTTCTTTTCCTTTTCTTTTCTTTTTTTTTTTGTTTGGTTTGGTTTTTTTGGTAGGGTTTTTTCAGGGTTTTTTGGTGGGTAGTTGGTTTTTTTTTTGTTTGTTTATTTATTTGTTTTGGTTTTTTGGGGGGTGGTTTTGTTTTTTTTTTGGTAGCATGAAAAATATGCCTCTTCTGCTGCTGTTTGCATAGTTGGTGCTTCAAGGGAAAATGCAGTTTTAGCAGCCCTGATTCCACATGCAGGACAGGTGACTGGAGAGTTTATAGTAAACTTTACTAAATGATAGGTATGCTAGATCAGGAACAGCTGACTACAGAGCTCTAAAAGTGCCTGCCAGGTGCTTAATGGTCAGACCCACCCAGTGATGTCTGAGCATTGGCTACTATGTGGATGCCACAAGGTCTACCACTGTCCTCTGTGGTGCCCAGTGCTCAAGGTGGGTGCAAATGAGGAGAGTGGCTTCCTGGTGCAGCCCTGGATGGCCAACTTTCGGGTGCTGTTGAGCTCTGTGCAATAAAGTATGAAGCACCGATGATTCCTTTTAAGTTGAGGCACTTCTGTACATTCTTTATCATGTTTCTTGACTTTCCATGAGAAAACCCTGTAAAATTTAAGTACTGATCACAATGAAATCCAAGGTGATTAGTCACTCAGTATCAGTTAACCTGATATGGTATCTAAAATGAACATTTTTATTCAAGGATTTGTCTAGCTTCTAATTGAACAGGTATGACTGGGATAGATTTAGATAACGTGTGGAGCTGTCCCACAATTACATAAAGAACTTTGGCAAATGTGGTTTTTTTCCCCTTTTGTTTGGTAAGTGATATAAACCCAGAGGTGAATGAGGTAGTGCCATTGGTCAACAGAATTGGATCTATCTTTGTACTAAAAGACTTCTTAGACTTGTAGAGATTTGTGGTCCTCTTGACAGTCAGCGAGAGAATGTGCAGGTTTAGTTTTGAGACATTCCAGACAAAGGTTTTCCTGACAAATGATTCTCTCGTGAGGCTTTTGACATGTAATTCAAACCATCCCTACAGCATGTATACTGCACCCTGAAGTACAGTATCCTGGTGAGCAGGTTTTGAAAAAGAGACAGCTGCTGGAAAAAAAAAGCAGGCATCATTCCCACAGCAGGGATAAAAATGAATAAAAGAGAAATCTTTATGACTGATGAGGTATAATAGCTTATGTACTTTCATTAGAAGGGAAGACAGGAGAGCTCTGCTTATACCAGTCACATGGAAGTACTCAACTCAGAGGGCAAAAACTCTTTCAGCTAGAGCTTAGGTTGAAAGTATGTGAGCAAGAAAGGCTGTTTTATGGGGCTTGAAACAAATTCTGATTACTAAAAAGAAAGTGTGACAATCACATATATGAAGGAGGGATGCTTTGAGGGTCTAAATGTGGTCCTGAGTACTGTTATCATGTCTGAGTGTTGCTATGTTGTACACTGGGGGAATTAGATGGAGTGTCTCACTCTGAGTGTTACAGAGGTATATATTTAAGAGGCTCTGGTTTACATCAGTTAGGACCAGTCTGTGTTTTATTCAGCACTTCAAGACAGATAAACCCCAGACATTGAAGCAGGTGTCTGTCAGATGCCCTTAGTGACTCTGAATAACGCAGGAGCTGGCCAACGAGTGTATAAATGTCTCAATTTTCCTCAAATTACTTCCTCAATAATACATATGTCACAGTAATCCTTTCCTTGGGATTCTCCCTCAAACTAAGAACCTTAACAGCTGATCTACCCTAGAGAGTTACAGAAATAACAAGGGGAGGAGAAAGGGATTTACTTATCTTAGGTTCCACGTCATTCCTAGTGTGGCTTAAATAAATTTTGTATAATGAGGCTTTTCACGCGTTACATATGCATTAAAATCCCTAGCATGGCTAAAACTTGTTAGACACCCAAGTGTGTTAATCCAGGGCATGTCAGGGTGCCTTAATTATCCAAAGAGTTAAAAAAAATCTCTGAGCACAGGGAGTAGTGGTGAGCACATCAGGAACCAAAGTAGTTACATTCCAGATACTTGCCTTTGTCATGTCTCTAGGTACATACTCTGTAGTCACTTGTTATATGGAGGCCTGTCCACAGGCTTTGTTCTGGGTTTCACCTAGCAATTCCTGTATTCATACACTCAGACTACAAGCAAACAGCTTCAACAGTTGTGTAAAAAGTCCTAGCATGGCTACACATCCCCAGACTATGCTCTTTGAGCATTCTTTAGCATCTCAGTAAGAGGTGCTGGCCTTTCTGTACTTTTATCTAGATATGATTTGTCATTTACTTACATATTATTTAACTTGAGAAGCTCGTTCACCTAAAAAAAAAATCCCTAAAAAACAAAAAGAGAGAAACTTGGCTCTATAGATGTTCCCTTAATGTTTTGTTGTTTTTACATTTCCTGCTGTTTCATAAGGAGAAATTAAGCATAGAAATATTAAAACTAACCCTCCATTGTGATCTTTAAATAATACCAGATGTTATGAAGTTCACTTTTTTTTTTAATTATTTTTTATTTATTTTTCCCCTGTGTTGCTTGGCATGTTCGTTTCTATTGGATGATGATTGTACAAAAGGTGGGGAGCTGAGCAGCGTGCACAGACTGGAGCCAGAAACTGGCGAGACCTGAGTGCAGGGACTTGCCAAGTTTCCTGCTTCCCCACTAGGAAGAACTGCACTTCCCAAGCCTCAGGCATCCAGAGGGGAATTTTCTGGCTCTTTAGAGCAAGTATAATGATGAATGATACATTCCCTTTTTTTCCCTCTTTCTCCTTCATCTAAACTGCAAATGAAATCAAACTGTGCTTTTCTCTGAAACTATGAGAGTGTGTTAAAAAGGCAGACAAGAAACCCATTGAATTTAGAGGAACCCTACAGAAAAGAAATGTCAGTGATTGCGAAGCAACAATCCAAACAAGAAAACAAAACTTCTCTAACTACCTGCAGCTCTGAAAATAAAGTTTTTAATAACCCCAAACTGTATGATATTTTGTCATATGTTTCTTACTTCTACCTCCAGATATGCACCTGAATAAGTATAAGATTCATTCTTTTCCAAAACTCCATGGTTTCTTGCGAGCATTTGGTATATTCTGTCAGATAAATAGATTCCTGAAGTTGATAATGGTGGAAGTTATCCTGCTATTTCTTCACAGAACTCCCTTAATAACAAATGTCAAGTACTGTTCATAATGGTTCCATTCAAGAGAAGTATTCAAGAAAAGCTAGTGAGAAATTGTCTGTCTGTCTGCTCAAATCTTTGAAAAACCCTGAAGATTTAGTATAAAGAGTTGTAGTGAAAAGTGTCAGCTGAATGAGGGATAAAAGAAAGTCATCCGTCCCTTTGAGCATGTCATGTGAAGGACATTGGGGAGCACTACAGAACAAAACATGGCTGATAATCCAATCCATGGGTTTTCTAATGGATTCTTATGGATTTCTTTTTTTTTTTTTAAATGGAAATTGACTTTGCCCTGTGTGTGCTGTATACATACACTCAATAACAAAAGACATGTTCACAGCAATGAATCTGAATTATATATTTGAATGTACATAATAGGAAATGAGTTTGAGTTCCTGCTCTGATCTTTGCATGTGGAGCTGAGCTAATGAAAGCTGTGCCACTGAAAACTGTTAGGAGACAGACCTGTTTGTTAGTTTTACTTATCTATCTAGAGTGGAACTTCAGTGCTGTGAAGTCTCAGCAGGGGCACTACAAGCACCACTTATTTCCTCCCTACCTGTAGGTAACTGGCGCCATGGTGTTGCAAGAAGGAGCTTCAGCAGTCTGCAGGGTGCTAACTAAATGCAGCAAAGTAATGAGCTTTTGATACCAAGAGTTTCTTTTTTGTACATGTTGCCATAAGAGTGGGAAGAGACTGAAGAGGTTTTGTGGCTGTATGGAAAGTAAGAAAGGAGATGACTATTCAGAATTAGGTCCATGCATGCAGAAAGCACATGCTGAGGATAAAATGCAGGACAAATTATCTTATGTATGTATACAAAAAGGTGGTAAAAATAATATATTCTCTGGCACAGTTTATATAAGAAACAGAGAAAGTTTCTCTGCAATCTGCAGCAGAGACAGATTATAAGGCACATGTGACAGCTTGTAATATGTGAACGGTTTTCACATGAGCTTTATTCTCACAGATGCTCACCCACAGAAGGATGAAAGAGGCAGTATCCATGAAGCAATCTTTGTTAAGGTCTGATCTCACAAATCATTGCAAAACAAAGCTGGATGAATGGGAAAAGCCAGTAGATTATTTCAGTACAAGCTGTCAATAAAAGCTTCCTCAAGAAGGATTCATATAATGAAGCAAACTGTTAGTGGTCACTGGAACTTGGAAGCTGGAGGTAAATTAGGTGGGATACTTAGATAAACCTGAGAATCTTAAAGAATTGTTTAGAAATATTACACTGGCAATTGGTGGCTTTTGTTGATTGCATTCAGTGATTATATTGAAAATGGAGGTGAGGGAAGCATTAACAGTGATGACAGCAAATATTTAGACCCACCCACAGAGCCCAAAAAAATAAAACCAGGTTAAATCAGTGTGACATAATGGCTGGATTATGAAATAGATGTTCTCACAAGTAAAAGCAGCAGACTTTCTCAATGTTTGGAAAACTGAAATACAGGGAAAAGACCTGCAATGCACCCTGATGTTATTATTAGGTAGGGATAATAGAAATAACACTTTCAAATGTGCTGATAAGGTGGACTGATCATGTATGATTAATCTGTTGGTTGGATGTGTTTTTTTACATTTCTAGTCAATCATCTAACCAAATGTGCTGGTTTGGACTAGAGTTAATTAGCTGATTGACTAGAGGCACAACTAATGAACTCTGCTTATTTCTGATGTTGCTCTTTCATGCAGTTTGAAAAATCATTTCTGAAAAAAGTTTGCAGAGTTTATACTGTCTTTTGAAGATCTTTGTTCCTGTCAATAGTTCCAGTAAAGTGTGATGTGGGGCAAGGCAAGTATTTGTGGAAACTGCGGAAATTGTGGAAAATCAGGAAATTGGGAAATATTGTTACTGTTACTGTTCTTCTAAAAAGGTGATCTATCTTATTGCTCAACAATACTGAAAGCTACTTGGAGCAGAATTAACATAGTAAACTACAAAAGATACAGTGGTCTGCAGACATCACTGGATTTCTTTAGGATTAAGATCTATTCACAGTAAATTTGAGGAACAAAGATTCCATTTATATATGATTGATATGTTTCTGTACCTTTACCTATTAGGAACTAGAATTTAGATGACATATTGGGATTTCGCAGTAATATGGTATGTTGTGAAAGGTCAGCTTGTTACCACACTATGATTGTTACAGACACCTGCTAGCAATGAGTAGCAACTACCGAGGAAAAAAATAACCAAACAAAAAAGATTTCTCTAAGTTTCCTCTCCAGGTAGGAAGGAGGCCTTGATAAGTTTAAACTAAAAGTAAAAACAAATGGAAAAAAACTTTTTTTTTTTTTTCACAGATGTCAGGCAGGCGAAATCCCCTTTGAATGGATGACAAATAACATAGACTTGAGTCCAAAATGACACCCCTATTCATGTCTTCACACAGTTTTAGACACAAAAAGAGATCATTCACATATCAGAACTCAATCTGTGAGGACAAAGGAAGTCATTACCACCTCAGGCAAAATTAGGTTTTGTTCTGGCTTCCATCTGAATATTGGCTATATACTTGATGATGGCTCTCTCTCCCAGAACACATTTCACTATTTAAAGAAGAATTTTACTCATGTTCCTTAGTTGTAACTGCCATCATTCCATAAATACCACTCTTCAGATGATAGTCTATCTCTAGGTACCATCTCTAAAGCCTAGCATAAAAAAAGAATATTCTTAAAGGCAAACAGATTTGTGCAAGCTTAAACCCAGGCCAATTCTTCATAAACACCAAATAAAACAAAGTAACTGCTTTGTTCACAGTGAAATTACAATGTAAAGATCAGCTAGAAATAGCTGTAGTATATAGAAAGTATTTGCTTGCTGTGACAGGCAGTGTCTCAGACTACTAATTGCTGAATTCAACAGCCATCAATATTTGTGTAAATGTAAGGGGGAACATTTTTAAACACTGAAAGGAGAAATTTTCAGAAGCACATACAGATAGTTCCTCCTGCATCTAAGGGAAGCCTGGGAGTAGCACAAAGCTGCTACTGTGGAACTTTCATAAGCAGAAAAGGTGGGTTTATGGAGGAATGGAAATGGAGATTGATATTTCATGATGAGTGGGACATCACAGGAACATATTTCGGTGGAATGGAAGAGAGATATATGGAGAAATGCAAAACAGAGAATGACAAACCACAGTTTGTATATATCCAGAATTATTGCTTGCTATTCAGTCAAAACATATGCAGAACATGTATTTAGACTTGGCAGCTCCTGAATCCTAAAGAATTGATATAGTTAGTGAGATTCTTCCAATTAAAAATATTCCCTACACTTACAGTGTTCAACCGGAATGGGAGAGGGACAGTTTCATGGCCTATAAGATCATGAAACTGATACTTTAGACATTTTTTTGAACAAGCATAGGCAAAGTAAGGTTCAATAGAGACAGAAGTTTCAGCTATGTGGTAAGAGCTTAAATATGGAAAGAGATACAGTGTCTTGGAGATGTTTGGCGCAAAGATTCTCCACAATATCTTACTCTCTACGTTGGATTTGATGGGTGGACTGTTTGGTGGATGAGAAATTGCCCCACTATGCTGCTCTGGTGAGACCTCACCTGGAGTACTGTGACCAGCTCCGGAGTCCTCAATACAGGAGATATATGGACCTGCTGGAGAGGGTCTAGAGGAGGGTCACAAAAATGATCAGAGGGATAGAACACTCTCCTGTGAGGAAAGGCTGGGAGAGCTGGGTTTGTTCAACCTGAAGAAGACTCCAGGGAGACCTTATTGTGGTCTTTCAGTACTTAAAGGGGCCTATAAGAAAAATAGGAAGAGAATTTTTAGCAGGCTTGCTGTGATAGGATAAGGAGTAATGTTTTTTTGCAGAGGGTGATAAAATATCACCACATGTTGCTCACACAGGTGGTGGATGCACCATCCCTGGAGACATTCAAGACCAGGCTGGATGTGGTTCTGAGCAACCTGATCTAGTTGAATGTCCCTGCTCACTGCAGGGGGTTAGACTAGATGGCCTTTGAAGGTCCTTTCCAACCCAAACTAATCTATGATTCTAACTTGAAGGTTATGTCCGTGCTATAGGCCTAAAGGTAACAGTGGGAAAGCAAAACTGTTGGCACCATCACCACCACCACAAACAACAACAAAAAAAGAAATTTAAATAGAAAAAAAGCAGACAACTGAAAAATTGAAAGTAGAGTTGGTGAGAAAAAAGAAAAATATGTAAAGAAAATCTCATTAGAATTTCCCAACTCACTGTCTCACAAGTTAGTCTTTGCAGATCTTGCTCTAGAACACAGCCAGGGCTTCAGTACTTCCCATTATGATTTCTATCAATTTACTGTCCTAATTTCAGTGTGCTGGGCTAATTAATGAGGTCAGACTGTGAGGTTGAAGCCACTGTGTATGATGAGGGTTATTTGGATTTGCAAATATTTTATCTATCTATCTGATATATTGTGCGTTTTTTCCCTAGATATGTTTCAAGTATATTTTGTAAAACAAGAAGAAATGGATTATGAACAAAGAAACATTTTACTCCAACTGTGTTGGAGGAGGTAAGAATAAGAAGGGAATTAGCTAAATATAAATATTTATAAAACATTCTTTAGCAATATTAGCCTGCAGGCTTTCTTTGAAATCTGTCACAAAACTCAGAATAGAATAGCAAAGATACAGGATGAAGTCCAGCTATTAAATATTTCCTCTGATATTTTTTTTAGTCTCATATTTATTTTTTAATACATTTTCCTGCTTTTAATTAAGACCTCAAGGGAAAGAAATGTGTTTTAATTTATGGTAATGAGTTTCAGTCCCTGGTCTTTTTTTTTTTCTTTTCTGGTATTATAGTCACAAGACTTATTTTGCTAAGTTATGAAGAAGAGGAAAAGATCTACTAAAGCTGCTGTGCCAGGAAGAAACAGCAACAGAAAAAAAAAAAAAAAAACAACAAGGAATAAAAGATTTTGTAGGTAAAATTCATTGCAAAATGCATGATGAGATAGTCAAGGTTCCCTATGCCTATGGCCTTTGCACCATTTCAAACAGTACCTCTTAGAGAAATTCTGAGCTCTTTAAAGAACCTCAAAGTGAAGGTTACAAGTGGTCCCCTAGTCCTGCTTTACCAAAGAACTTCTATGGGGGTGTCCAAATTCCAAGTGGCATTCCAGTTCATGTTTAAGATACAGACGTGCACCCAGATGTGTGAATTTGTGTCCCATGGGAAGGTTCTTCCAGCTGGAAAACCTCAGGAATGACAGTTCTGGCCTTGAAAAATGGAGGTGCAGGTTCAAGGTCAGCCTTGACGCCGTGACATAACACAAGTTAGGGCCAGTCCTAGTCTCTCTTATTTATTTATCTAATTTTTTATTATTATTTTCTTTTTTATTTATTTTTACCAGAAGTGTTATTGAGGAATTAGGAAGACTTTCTTAACACAGGTATTGCTGAACTGGATTTAGTTGCTGAGGCAAAGGAGCAGCTGGACTTGATGGAGTGTCATTTGTGAGTAGGAAACAACATTTTATTAATCAAAAAAAAAAAAAGGAAAAAAAAAGAGAAAGCCTTTACTTCCCTTGATAATTGTGGATTTGAAGACATGTTTATATAGGGTTTTTCTTCTTAATCTGGCTACAGTGATGACATGAATTTATTTTAATTCCTAGTGCTCTATATTCAACAGTGGTTTCCAGTCTGCAGCTCACACAAACTTGAGTGCAGGCTAGTTCTGAGTATGCTGCAAGAGGTAAATTAAGAACAAAACAATTCTCAGAATTGTAGTAACTTTGTATTCACCATCTAAATTCTACCTCCTCCTGGAATCTTTTTAACTGTCCATGAACAAAAAAGAAGAGAAAAAAATGCTGAAAATTGCTTCTCTCAACAAAAGCAAGACTAAATGTCAGTTCATGTTTGTTGGCTTTTAATTTTTCTTGCTTTACAACTTTAGCATCATACAGGAGAAGAACAGTAACTTATTGCTAGGCAGCGATGTATCATAAGGTTAAAGCAATATTATGTATGCTATTACAGGCATTACAACCTGCTGTTGTATCTCTAGCAAGAATGAAAAAGGATTATGCTGATCTTTTACTTATGTAAAAATATTAGGAATATTTATTAATTTCTTGTAGGTGTAATTTCCATTAAATATTATTTTATATTTTTCTGACCCATTCTTGAAAATAATGTTGAGCTTTCTACACATCAAAGAAATATGACAATAACAGACTACTGTGACCTTCCTGATCAAATTAAAGTTTGTGTTAACATTCAGTATCCTAGTTAGGATTCAGTTCTGAAAATAAACTTATGGAACATACAACCTGTTACAGAGTTAAAGAATTTACCTGCTGAAATGTATTTAGTGCAGGGACTGATTTCTTTTGTATTTTTCATAAGGTTGAGTTGAAAGTCAGTGCTATATAAGCACAATTTTAAAAACTTCTGTTTGTGACTTTAAATATGTTTAATTCAGTTCTTTACTGCGGCCAGGTCAGGAGTTTGCTCTTCTTGATGATTAAAGGGAAATGTGTTTCTACCTTTTTAATTCTGACTTTTATTGAATTCGTAACAGTTTCCTTTGTCCAGTACCAGTTACAAAGATGTAATCTTGATCTCATTTGTATAGTGCTTTTTGTTCCCACATTCCAGAGCCATAAAATTAATTTTAATATTTAATTAAAAAACTTGCTAAGTCAACTGATTATTAAATAGATGTGCGTGTACAAGTAACAGCATTGAATATATTATGCCATTGATCTGCTATAATTATGTCTTCTTTCATCAGTGAAGTTGAGTTACCTCAGATCTGGCTATGGCTCATGAAAATTACATGGCTACAACAAGATTACTTTTTGTGAAGGTAATGTAATAAAAACAAATGGTGGACACCTGATTTGCTGCCTTGTATTCACTGCTGTTGATTGCTAAAGAGATGAATCTGAGTCATTGGTTGATTTTAACTAAGTACATATGAACATTTAGAATATCACATGAAGATATTTGTATAAATATTTAATATAAATCTCTCTGTTGTAACTTCTTTTGCTTCTAGCTATTGACTGCACAACCATTGTAATTTGCACTTTTGTCATTTTTGGGCAGTGATATTTAAGCTCACTGTAGGGAAGAAAACATTAGAGCCAGGTTCCACAAAACTGTTTCCCAGTCCCTCGCAGCATGACCCATCTCTGCTGGGTGCAATGGCAGCCGTATTTCTTCCTGAGGAAGTCTGAGGTTTGATGTTTACTCTGTGAAGCCCCACACACCCTTAGCAGTAGCAGTCAGTCCCCTGGGAAACAAAATTTGCCTTTTTTGTTTCTCCTCTTCTTTTTTTTTTTTTTTTTTGGGTAGAACTTGGGTCTGACAGGTTTTAACAGAGCTATTTGGCTGACATTATGGTCCTATGTTGCTAATGTACACCTCTCAATATCTGTGTGAAGTGTTGGGCAGGTGCTTCTTGAAACAGTGAAAATCCAATTTCTGTAAATATTTCCAGGGTATTATCAAAGCTGTAATGGCTGAAATAACTAGAGTTCCTATAGCTAGTTCAAGCTAGAAGGTAAAATCTTTCTGGATTGGATGCTCAGGAGCAGAGGGATTTGCTAATTAGATTTAATTGTGTCAGCCTGCAGTGCCTGATAAAATTGAAATCAAATACTTTGTTGGCATGATGAGCTATGTAAAGTAGTGCCAAAGTGTAAAAGAAAAGAAACAGACCCTCAGATGCTCTGCTTCTGGCTGGAGGTACTGCCTGCCCAGGGTTAGTCTGCTCTGTGACTGGGGATTTTATCCTCTGTCTCAATTTATCTCTATTGTTACACACTCATTTGACTCCAAGTTTCTTCACAGCAAACTACTGTTGCTGCTTTGTGTGCTTATCTCTAAAAGGGTGACTGTTCCTACCAGTAACATTGTCCCTGGCTGTATGTGGTTAAAATTGGATAAACGAGAGATTGTGGTGCTGGAGAATGACTGAGACAGGAGAAATGTGCCTAAAGTGGGCAGATATTTAAGCTGAAGAGAGGGCAGCTACTAAGGACTGTTAGGAACAGAAATTGATATATTTTTTTTCATTTTTGGCAGTTTAAAAAATATAGGTTGATAGTTTAGATTTCCTCAGGCAGATAAAATAGCTTTCAATAAGAAGCACAGAGGCTGGTGACAAGACAGTGGTAGTCTAGAGTGATGGAGTGAGCTGCTGGTGAAATGGAAGGTATTTTGCATAATCAGTGAATCTTGCAAAACACCAGCCTTGCAGTGTAACATTGCTAGGAATAAGTCTGCTGGAGAGAGGTGAGGTAATGTGAGGAGTCTGAGGAAAGTCAAATTACCTGTCTGAGAATGTATATGAGCATGGTGCTCATGAATATTCTAGTCTATTATCAAAGCAGGTGCTAAGCTGTATCTGCTTGAGAAGGAGGTTGAATCCTCTTTTCCTGACATGATGCCCTACCTAGGAAATGTTCCTGGCCTCTGTGCTGAGGTATAGATCTATTATCAGCACCTCCTTCATACAAGCTCTGTCTGTACCAAGTCTGACACCAGGATACTGGAGAGCTGGGATGCAACTCTGGCTGTGCTGTGAGCGTACAGCTTAGCTTTGGGTACTTCAATGCCCTGTGCTTCTTTCTCCCTTCCTCAGTCTCTTCCAAAAATACAGGTAGGCACAGGTGATCCTCTTCTGTTTCTATGGACTCTGGCACAAAGTACGTGAACTGGGGCTTTGAAACCCTACTGTAGTCAACATAATGTTATTTTGTTACTTTTTGTCAGGTGTCGGTTGAGAAGTCATGCA